TTATAACCTGAGGCAGTAAAAACTTCATGCATGATGTTTGCAAAGTCTCTGTTCTATGGCTGATGAGGTTGTGAGGTCCAGATGCGGCATTTACCATATTGCCTTATAGCTACTTTCTTACATATCTGCTACCTCATCTTAACTATTTACCCCTTATTCATTTTCATAGCTTCGCTGTAAAACAATACATAGTGGGAGAAACTATAATAATATGAGAATATTTTTTGAAAAGTTGAAAATTAGACTACAATTTTAAGACAGTTACATGTGGTGACATGATTAGTATAATTTAATTCAATTCAATGCATCTACTGAGCAATAAAAGTCTGTGGTATGCTCTGTGCTGTCAATATAGACATGAGTTGGTAATATTAACAATGATATTATTAACGATTACAAATAAGATGTTATTAATAGCTATTAATAACATTAATAATAGCTTCAATTGCCTAAATAAATACAATATTATGAGACAATAGACAACATATGTTGGTCTTTGGTCTCAGTTTTGGCACAGGGCTCCTGAAACCCTTGTAAATTCCCAAGTGATAAGAACAGTAGGAGCATCTTTTGTTCTAATGAGGTGACTCTGGTTGGGCTCCTGCATGATTCCTGGATAAGGGCTGGTCACCAGAAAGACCAAGCCATGATTAGAAACTTGGAATTTCAGCCCCTTCCCCCCATCCTCCAGAGAAGGGAGAAGGATTGAAATGAACTTAATGATTGATCATGCCTATGTGAGGAAGCCTCCATAAAATCCCAATAGTACAGGGTTCAGAGAGCCTCCAGGTTGGCAAACACAACTACACTGGGGGGGGGTGATGCATACCAACTCCACTGGGCCCTAATGGTCACTGGAGATAAAAAGGTGAAGAAGATACAGCCTCTGTCCTTGCAGAAATCAGGCTAAGGGTAGAGGCTGGGGACAGAAAAATTAGTGGACAATTTAATATTCTGTTTCAGCTATGAGAGAGTTGCAAACAGGAGCCTGTTGGAACAGGGGAGAGAAAGTTCCCTAGAGGAAGCAAATTTTGAGATGAGGCTTGAAGAATAAGCCAGCAAAAATGGGAGAGACTAGTGCAGTAAAAACTACAGAACCATAGGACATGGGGAGTGTCTGGGGCAGTAGGAGAAGAGGCTAGAGACATCCTTTATAACCTGACTGACAGAAGCTCCTGTACTTCAGACCCTCCCACACCTTGCCCTATGTATCTCTCTACCTGGCTGTTCAGCTGTATAGTGATGAGCTGCCTAACAACATTTCAGTCAATGGCAGGCCATGTATATGATGGTGTAGTACCATATAAGTACCATATAGCCTAGGTATGTAGTAGGCTATACCATCCAGGTTTGTGTAAATACTGTAGGGGAGGAAGAAATTTTTCTCTACCCTTATAGGTTCTTCTGGCTGGTCTAGGAATTAAATTAACATGAGACAGATTATCAGGAGAAAAACAAAGTTAAATAACATGTATACATCAGAGAAACCCAGGAAAACTGAGTAACTCACCAAAATGGCCAAAGCCCTCACCTTAAATACCATCCTCAGCTAAAGACAAAAGAGGTTGCCGGGGGTGGGGAGAGTCAGGGACTTCAAAGAGAAGGAACACAATTCACAGGTAAGTGAAAGGAGCAAATGTTTGGAAAACAAGTGTTTAGCCACACAGAAACATAAGAATACAGAGGGAGCCCAATAAGCAGGTGTTTCTAGGTTTCTTCCTGTCTGTCACCTAGTTCATGCTATGCTAAGGTGAGAGCTCATTTCCTGAGACAGGTTTTTCAATCTGAATTCTTCAGGCAGTTAAGGGGGAGGTAAGAAGAAAAAGTTTCTGAGTCTTTTGTTTCTTAAAAATAATCAGCCTAAAATAATCCTCATGTTGAAGAGACACATTTTGGGATGGCAAATTTTGTTCCCTTTCAGTACACTCTATGATGTCACACAATGACGAAATTGCCTAAAGACACATTTCTCAGAATGTACCCCTGTGGTTAAGCGATGCATGACTATATCCTTTATCACATCCATTAATAAACTGGTAAACATAAGGAAGTGTTTCCTTGAGTTCTATGAACCACTGTAGCAAATTAATGGAACCCAAGGAGGTGGGGGAGGGAACCTCCAATCTATAGCTGATTGGTTAGAAGCACAGGTAAGAATCTGGGCTTGCAATTGGCTGGTGTCTGCAATGTGTGTGGGAGGAGGTGGGCCTGGAGAGGCAGTGTTGTGGGACTGAACCCTCAACCTATGGGGTCTGATGCTATCTCCAGGTAGATAGTGTCAGAACTGAGTTAAATTGTAGGACGTCTAGCTAGTATCACACATAATTGCTTGGTGTGGGGAGAAACAACTCATTTGGTGACCAGAAGTGAAGCATTTTGCTTGAGTAGTAAGGGAGACTCACAGAGAAGGAACACACAATAGGGAAGAACGAGGTTTTTCTCTACACAGGAGGAGGAAAAACTTGAATTTTTCCTTTACAAATATACTAACAATACTTTATAATAATTTATTTCTGATTTAAAAACATCAAGAAATGATATGATAAATGTCTAGAGATCTGATTTTTAGAATACATATCAAAGCATGAGTGATCTCAATCTCCTAAATTTGCCAAATCATAAAATGTGAAAAGACACTTGAAGTAATATTGCCAAAGACTTTTATAGAGAATTACATGTTTCCAGTTATCTTATATCCATTATCTCAACTGATCCCCATAATAGCCTCATGAGTTAGACAAGTCTGAAATAACAGTAATAATTTACTGATTCTTTGTACGTGGAAACTGAGGCTATAAAACATTAACATGACTTATCCATGGGCACACAGTGGTAATTCATAGGGCAAAGACTAAGCTGTTCTGGTAAAAGGGCTTATGAGAAAATTTCTTTGACATGTATAAACACGAGCTCAAGTTAAGTTTATTTTCCATATTAATAACCAAGCTTTTTACATCAAACATATCTCCCCAACTATTGTGATAAGTCTATAAAGTACAAACCTTTACTATAAAACACATATCCAGTCATAATCACATTTTTAAGAATTTTCCATTTCCCCCCCAAATAATGAGGATTTGATGACATTAGCATTATTACTTTCTTTAATGTTGTCAAGACCATGACATTCCATATAAAGCAGAAAGCCTCATTTCCTTCGTCAAGAAAAGAAGATAAAAGACAGGAAGAAAAAAGAAAGAAGGAAGAAAGGAAAGGAAAGGAATTCTTTCTTTTTTATAAATAAGAGACAAGATATTTAACGGCAACTCAAGTCACCCATGCAAGAGCACGATGATTAATTTAGCTGGATGCTTTGCTTCACATTTCACAGATATTTCCCACCTCCATTTTTATGTACTAATATTGGAATGACTTCAGTTTAGCACCACCTGCTAGTTTTATCCAAGTCATGTGATTAATCCTTCAAAATCATCATCAAAAATGTTAAGGTAGACCTAATTCCCATCCCAGGATGACCAGAGCATTGCTCCAGTCCATGTGCAGACCATCTGATAAAAGTTAATTTAACTTAGTGGTTAATTCTTCCACTCCTCACCTAATAGTAGTAAGTAGTATAAAAATAGATATGATTGTTTTAAGAGCAGTATAATTAATGATGTTTCTTTTTCCTATTAAAAGGATGGGTGCTGTTTTTACACTGTTTCTAATGGGCTAGCCTCTTCTTACTTCTTATTGGCTTAAAAAAAAATCATTAGAGATGCCAGAAAATTCATTATCAAATTCTCTTCAGGTCTCAAATCCATATTTCCCAAGTTGGAAACTTCTATACATATCCAACTTTCCAAGCACTTCAGCTCCCTGCTTTTTTAAATCAATAAGCCATATTGACAAAATTTTAATTATTCCTTGAATGTGAACACCTATTTTGATTTTTCTTATTTTCCTGTAGAAAACAAAATTAGCCAACTGGTTTAGTAGTTTGCTTTGCTCCATTCTCTTTGAACTTCAGCTTTCTCTTCTAAGACAGAATAGGGTCTTAACTTATTGATTCATTTGCAAAGAGAAAATTTTTAAAAATCAAAGAGTGAAATGAAATAACCAGCTCTGCTAATAATTATGCAAAAATTTAAAAGGCTGTAATATTGGCTTGCAAAAAGTTTTCTAATTTTGAGCAAACTCACCAATGTACATTGAAAAAGGCACTTCATCATTATAATCATGCATGAAAAGTCCAGTGACCATCCAAGGTTATCTAAATGTTTCTGACTCTCAATGCTCCTTCATGCAAATAATAAAACCACTACTTCTGTGAACTGCCAAGCGATGCTGATCCATTCAGCAGGCTAAGAAGTGAAGTGTTTAACTATCTCCCTGCCCCACAATTTCAACAAGGTTATAATCTATGTGAAAAGACCCAAGGGGTTCTGCGCAAATTAATTTACTATTGAGTATTTACACTCCCATTTTTCTCACAGTTTTATTTTCTTGGTGTAATTGAGATGTAATAAACCTAGTATATGTTGCAAAAGAAAAGCAGGTGAATAAATATCTTCAAATCCAGCTAGAGGAGACTTCCTTTCATCTCAGCCTACTGGTAAGGAAATAGATTAGATCCACATTTTCTGAACTCTCTCTGTTTAAACTGGTAAAACTTAGAAGGGATATGGCATACCCAACAGCAGAGTGTTAGTTTAGGAAGAGTGAAATAAATCTAAAAGAATAACAACTTTCAAGTTAAAACACACACACACTTTTTTCAAAAGAAAATGGCAAAAAGGAGGGAAGAAATTAGATGAGATGGTTCCAGTTCTGGAATCCTATAGTTTTAAATCTCAAAACATCATGAGCAATTAAACAAATATTTAGGGCATACAAAAGAATGGAGTCATGATAATCAATAGATTACATCATTTACTAAGATGCTTAAACTTAGTTTTCAGAATTTTGAAAATGGTTTCCTACCCTCATTTTGGACAAGATTGATTTCTAAAATATAAAGGCTGAAAAAGAATAAAAAACAGGAACATAAAAGTACTTACAACTGATCGGATGTTATTTTCTTTCACCAGCTCCAGAGATGATTTATAGCAATTTGCAAGGTCTTCCTTGTGGGAACCATTAATATGGCCTCTGGCTATTGGCCCTACAGTATGGATGACGTCTGTAAATGCAAAAGGAAAGAAAAATAGGATAAACGAGGTATTTTTCACTTTCATATAATTGGTGTTTTATTTATTTTAGGTATTTGTATTGGAGCCTGGAGACAAGCAAGCTAAGAAATACTGACGATGCAAATGCTTCCCTGGTAAAAGATTTTAGATAGCATAGCCTTCTAAAGTAGCAGTTTCCCAGGAAGGTGATAATTGTGAAAAGGAATTCCCTACCAGTAAACTGTTCCATCATCACTGGTCGGACCCCAGGGAGACAGATTATAAGATGTGAATAATTGGCACCCTGGCAAAAGATAAAGGCTGGGTGGAAAATAAACTGAGAAATAATTGCCTGCAAAATGAGCATTCTGAATTGATATGTGAAGGAAGAAGCAAAGCTATACATCATTTGTAGATAAGACAATGGTGTCGGGCTTTGGACACAATAAATAAGGGCGAGTTTTGGAAAGTATGCCAAGAGAGTTGATAATTGTCAGTAATAACCCTAAAAGGAATAATTTTAAAATTTTTCTACCAATTTTAAAGTGCAACCTACCATTCCTCACATACATGAGGTGCGCTAGGCATAATAGTCCCCAATGATTACCTAGCTTCTAATTTTTACTATATTAAAACTTTCAAAAAGCAATCTGTACTTTTCAACCACCATTTACATTTAAAACACATAAAAAACCAGCCATTGTGGTATTCTTTAAATATCTACACATACATAAATCTTTAAATTTAAGAACATAATGAATTGGACTATCCTAATTTTAAAGTCAATAAAGATTACAAGAAAGCACCTAAATTTTTACCTAAATTACTTGAAAATGCCTTACAATTCCTGCTTCCCAGTCCTATCTGTTAATATGGATTACTAGCCCATTTCCTTGATGTCAGTAACAACAACTAATCAACTTCAATCAAAAAAGATAAATTCAGTCTGATATCACTGGAATATTATAATGAAATGGAATTATTTGCTTTGGCTAATCAGTACCACTTAATTTCAACAACAATGACAAGAGAATAAGACCACATTACAAAAATGAGGCTATGGAATAGCTTTAAATTGCATATGAAATTTGAATAGCAGAAAATAAATCACAAAGGGAAAAAATCTTTGTTGATTGCCTGCCAAATGTTGAGTGTGACTCAACGTTTGAGAAAATCCCCAAAATGTTGATTTCAACTTTAAACTCTGAAACAGTATTTAAACCCTTGTCAGATAATATCTTTAATATTTTTGATATTATGATTTTTGATATAATGATAACTTTTGATCAAAATAGGCAGAAACATCACCAGTGAGTTCTTGAAGATGTTATTTCACAGGGAAACCTGGGTTTAAAGTGAGAAACTCTACAATGTAGAAGGAAAGGCTAAAGGGAGATAGGTCGTATTTAGCAAAAGAAAAACAAAAACATGAAAAAACAGCACACAATATCATTTTCTTCTAACAATAGTAACAAATAAGAGTTGCATTTATTGAAGAAATACAAGTCCTATACCCTATGTAGTGAATTTTTATGTGAATATTTTACATTAGTTTCTGTTTTTAAATGAATGCTAGAACATATGAAGAAGGAAGATTGTACTTAGCTTTACTTTATTTTCTCCTTTGTGACTACTTGTTGTTTGTGCCCAGCTATGATATTTGAAATTCCCTAATAAATACAAATGGAAGAAAAGCTGTAGAGTGACAATTCAGAATTCTACAGGGCAGCATTTCCTAAAGTGGCTTCAGTAAGATACAGGTTTAAATGTCAATTAAATTTGAGAATCACAAGTAAAATTAAGTCAAACCAGCTACCTTTGTGAAGGACCTCTCCGGACATTTAGTATGCTACAGTCAATTGTGAATCTCCACGAGGAGGATACAGAATGCTCTGTTTCCAAAAGATGTTTGACTATCGAAACCTATGTTTTGTAGAGTACTCTCCTCAGGAGACTAAGTTTCCACAAATTAATCTTTGGGAAATGTCGTTCCAGGCAACTGTGGCACTCTTAATACCATTGTTGAAGGTGAAGTCGATGTTTTTCCCCTCCTTCCTCATTGACTCTGTATATCAAACACATAATACATAAAGGAGCAACAGGACATGACTTTGGTTTCCTTGTTTTATAGATGGAGAAGGTCAAGAATAATTATCTTTCATTTAGGGTCATAAAGATGTATCTACTTGAGCCAAGTAAAAACAGGACTTAAGAGGCATTAATGGGAAGACAAGAGAGAGAGAAAGAGGCCCATAAGAGCAGAAAATAGTGATGTAATAAATAAGTTTTTTCTTTGCTTTTTTTCTAAGCCATCATTGTCCACATAACTTAAATAGTATTTATGAAAAATTACCCTTCGCATTTCTTCAGTTCTCCATTTAATTTAAAAGTCTGAAGACAAACAGCCAATAAACGAGCCTCCTCAACATCAAAATAATTGATCTCTGAATTTAATGCTCTATATTAAATTTACAGCATCCAAGATCAAGTGTTATTATCGACCAACACAATGACCTCTCAGATCCACAAAGCTTGAGGTGAATCAATGTGAAGCTTGAAAGGAAATTTCCTTCATTATTTTAATTGTTCCTAGTACTTATGAGCAACTCTTCCACAAAGAGGACTTCCTCTTTTTTGGTTATAAAATTTAGTCAGGAAGCCTGCCTTCAAATCCAGGCTCCAGCTCTGACTCCCCTAGCACCCCAGATGAAGTCATCATTTCATTGGTCCCTGCTTTGGTGTCCTTATCTGTAAAACAAATCAGCTGCTCAGATGATCTCTGTGGTCTCTTCTGTGTTGTGTAGCATCATTCATATTTAACTTTCTAATGGAGACAGATGGAGATGGAGTACAGATGATGTCTGGGCTGGTAAAGGAGACCTTAAACATGTTAAGTGACTTGCAGGCCTGGTGAGTATAAGAATCCTTTTTTTTTAATCATCTGATTTATTTTTATTAATTTTTAAAAAATATTTAATTGCAGTAACATTGGGTTATAACATTATATAGCTTTTGGATGTACATCATAATATATTTCGAATTCTGTGTAGATTACATCATGTTCACCACCCGAAAACTAATTATAGTCCATCCCCTCACATGTGAGCCTAATCACCCCTTTTGCCCTCCCCTCGCTTCCCCTATGGTAACCACCAATCCATTCTCCGTTGCTACGTGTTTGTTTGTCGTTGTGTTTATCTTCTACTTATGAGTGAGATCATATGGTATTTGACCTTCTCCCTCTGACTTATTTCACTCAGCATAATACCCTCAAGGTCCATCTATGTTGTCACTCTTTGCAGATGACATGATTTTATATCTAGAAAACCCTAAAGAAACCACTAAAAAACTTTTAGAAACAATAAAGGGATACAGTCAAGTCGTGGGATACAAAATCAACGTACAAAAATCGGTCGCGTTTCTATACACTAACAACAAAGTCTCAGAAAGAGAAATTAAGAATACAATCCCATTTACAACTGCAACAAAAAGAATAAAATACCTAGGAATAAACCTAACCAAAGAGGTGAAAGATCTGTACACTGAAAACTATAAAACATTGTTGAAAGAAATTGAAGAAGACACAAAGAAATGGAAAGATATTCCGTGCTCTTGGATTGGAAGAATTAACATTGTTAAAATGTCCATACTTCCTAAAGCAATCTATAGATTCAACACAATCCCTATCAAAGTTCCAACATTTTTCACAGAAATAGAACAAAGAATCCTAAAATTTATATGGAACAACAAAAGACCCCAAATAACCAAAGGATTCCTGAGAAAAAAGAACTAAACTGGAGGTATCACACTCCCTGATTTCAAAATATACTACAAAGCCATAGTAACCAAAACAGCGTGGGACTGGCACAAAAACAGACACACAGTTCAATGGAACAGAATTGAGAGCCCAAAAATAAACCCCACCAGTTGTGTGACCTTGGGCAAGTCACTCTCCTCTTTGGGCTTCCAGCCTCAGAGCTAAAAAAAAGAGTTGAATATGATGGCCTCTAAGATTCTTTGTAGCTTGCAAATGTAACTCCTCTTCTATGTGCCTATCAAGAATTGATGTACAGATTCTAAGTGGTCTAATTCATTCTTGTCCAGATAAATGAGGATAGGTCATGGTTCAAGTTTCTCAAATATGCTTATACAATGAAGTGCAAATCGGTACCATCCTTAGAGAGTGTTTTAACCATATCTATCAAAATTACACATGTGAGCTATTTTTGACCCAATAGTTCTATTTCTAGGAATGCATCCTATAGATTATATGCTTCCTCATGTGCTAAATCACATTTATGCGATCATTCCTTCTACATTGTATATAATAGGAAAGATTAGAAACAACCTAAATATCCATTAATAGGGGACTAGATAAATAATTGTACATTTATACAATGAACCATTGTACTTCTGTAAAGAGGACAATGAAAATATGTATGGATATAAAAAGATATCCAAGACATATTGCTAAGTAAAAAACAAAAGAAAAAGAGGCAGAAAAGTCTGATTAGCATACTACCATTAGTGTAAAAATAGCCCACAGTTGTAGAAAAGAATGTGTTTGTTTTGGCTAATTCCTGCATAAAATATCTCTGGAAGGATTAACAAGCAATTAATAACAGTGGTTACTTCCACAGGAAGTGATGGAAACTGCAAAGATGTAGAGAATATGGCAAGGAAACTTTTCAATGCGTATTTGTTATATTTTTTGACATTCAAATTATGTGAATACATTACCTATTCAAAAATTAAGTAAGCATTAAAACGAAGAATATATGGTTTATTAAACCACGTTCTGGATTCCATCTGCCATTATCCTACTACATATAAAGATTGTTAATGTGCTTTTCAAAGATGATCTTACATTACTACCAGTATGAAAATACTCTTAAATTAAACAAAAAATTATTCCAAGGGATTTAACAGAATGACTCCACTAATTATATCTTTCTTTCATTTTGCTACTCTCAATAATCTCTCTATATGAAACAATTATTTTAATATAAAA